TTAATTGGTTATGTAATTTCAAAATACAACATAAATTCAAAACTATATCGGCTGATTTGAAGTAAAATTAAGACACTACTAAACACACATACATAACTAAAAAATGATATTTTATACATATTTATACGATAAAAGAAATTGTAACAAAAAGGGACAAAACCCTTTCAACATCCGTGAAAAAATATCTGCTGAAACCAGAGTCGATTGTACAGTTCCGACTGTCTTATGACCATGTGTTTGTGTGTGTGTTTGTTTGTTTAACGCCGAACGCAATATTTCAGCTGAATGGTGGCGGTTTGTCAATAATCGAGTCAATAGAAATGACATCATGAGATCAGTGTTTGCAATACTTTAATTTGCCAGTTGGCTATCAGGGCCTGCTGCTTCCTGCAGGCTATAAAATTTACAGGCTCATTTTGCTAAAGTCAAACCAAGAAAAACAAAATAGACTACACTGTACACAGTTTCACACTGTTTCTACAAAATCAATTAGCGAGGCCTATGGCACACATAGACGTATGTATTTGTTAAAGACTGGGGTTGACATTTACGCGTAAAAATATATGGGAAAGATTCCAGTCGAAAACAAAATGACAGATAATGACTGATGGCCATATAAGGGCCTGCAGATATTTGAAACTGCCGGCCCGATACAATAACAACCGGCGCTGGGTCTCCGGGCCGGCGGTTATTTCGAACGCTGCATGAGATACGATGTGTTTATGAACCACTATCAACTAGTGATAATACCAGGTTCAGCGAAACGGTGAACGTATCCTGCCCCATTGGTGACACCCGTCATAAATATATAAACATATTTAGAGGCTATTCAACTGTTGATCTGAAAATATTAAATAATTTAACGAATGGTACACTTCAAAATAGGGTATAGGGCCTGTAAGTCTCGCTACTTCCGGTACTAAACTTGATCCCGGTTACCTTTGCGCACGATATGCGAGACGGGGCCCAACTTACGTCCATTACCAGATTTCCGGTGACAAGCGTATATTCAAGAACCAGTTCTGGTTCCAAATTGTGCGACCGCCAAATATGACTTTACTAGACCGGACCAAGTGTACAAACATGTTTGGCTGTCACAGCTACTGACAGTCGTAATAGTTAGCTAATTTGGGGATGGTTAGATCTGAAAACTATTATCCGTTCCTTACTGTCAACTGACAACACTGAGACCATTTGAAAAGGTATGAAACGTTGTGCGTCACCGTAAGTACTAAGGTCTCGCGAAGTGCCGTGACCTACTTACGGACACTATTGCATCGGACATCTTTTTGTCACTGATGAATCAAATCTTGAAATGTCCGCCACATGTACATGTCTGCTATAAAACGTTGCGAAAGCTGAAGTCCGTGTACAATATCTTTACTGGCTGATACTGCAATGCGCGTGTAGAATGATTCATACGGGCCTAAAACAACCCACAATATTTGACGTTGCAAAAGGAGTCCAGGCATTGTACATATTTCCATTTATCATCTAATGGAGGGTGTTATCGGTGCAATAAAGCAGTCTGATAAACTTGGTATCCAAATCTGATAACTATGCAAATTACGTCAATCCACGTCCTACTTTCTCAAAACTCCATACATGCCATGCGAATCCTAAAACGTTTAACATTTCATTGATGACGTCGTCGCGACTTTACATTGCGTGGACGAGTTTGTAAACATTCCGTTAGAATTGATGACAGAGGTTTTGGAGTCGTTACTGCAGTAATTGGCTTTGGAAAACATGAAACGGAGAACTTCGTTCAAATTGAAGGTACTGATTATGAGGCACGAGTGATGTTATGTTTGCACTGCATTAGCGACTAGTCACAACAATATGCCGCCGTCATGAACGACCTTCACCTTGGTGTACCGCTAAGTATTCTTACGCGAATGCTCGATTCTCTTCATATATAAATTCACGTACGATTTGCTTATTTTTTAATTTAATTTCTTAATTTTAAGAATGACATTGAATGATAAAGAGATTATTAACTTCGTGTGTGTCCGTATCATTAATATCATATATTAGGAATAAAAGATATGCATTATGCTCGCCAAATGATGTTAATGATACGGACACACACGAGGTTAATAATCTCTATATATTTATATATATATTTTTTTATTCATATAAATTTATTGGCTGAACAGAGTTAAGGGCCACTGGTATACGCAGGGCGTTCCAAAAGTAGTCGGCCTAAGTATATTCTCGATGTCCAATGTTAGAAAAGCTTCCATTTTATTTTGAAGAAATTATTAGCAAAGCCATATCCAACATATCACATATGTGGGTAATGTGGTTAACGAGATATTAGTCATCACAACACATTGGTGTATAATATTTGGGGTATAAAAGCAATTTGCTTGAGGTTGACAGATAATATGTAGAAAAAACACACATAAAAACAACTGCATTTGTATCATTTTCTAGGTGAGGCCGATTACTTTTGGATGTAAATTATATATCGTTCCAACAGAGAATGTATCTTCACAGGAAAGAACACATGGCTCGTTGTTGTCCAGGAAACTGTGTCATTTGGATGTGGAAGAGTAATATTTGGGAAAGGTTACTAGTCGGAAAAAGTCGGAATTTCTTGTTAATTGAACAATGTTACACCGACAGGGTGCGTGCCTTGAAACCGATGGAGGTAGATATCTGATTTCCATCCATGTAGAGAGGTTTTAATCTCAACCAGAAACTATCTTGTCCGTGTTATCGGTCGTGTTATCCATGTTGTCGGTCCTACGTTTCAGCATTCATTGTACAGTGTTCATTGTAATAATTGCCAAATTATGGTTTAAATGGTTTACAGTGTTTGTATACTAGTACCTCTGTAATATTCAAATTCAGTTGGACTTTGTGTGTGACAACGCCATGCTCGCAACACATTCTAAGATGATCTTCATGGGAGGATGCTTCTTCGGAGCATTTGCAGCTGGAACCCTGGGTGACAAGTAAGCATTAAAAGTATGAGTAGTCGAATAGTCAGAATGGCTTGATATTAAGGAGACAAGACAACAACAGACCAAGTCTATTTTACTCATGAATAGGAACAGTCCTATAGCAGACATGGCTACTTAATGAATTTTTAAAAAGGTCACTACACATGGTTTACATTCACTCTTAATGCTTGTATTAGAAATCTAAAACGCACCTCCCTCGTGATTACGCAATATAAAAAGGGTAGACGGTCACGTGATCGCGTGACGTCATACCGGACAGTCGCAACATCAAAACATGAAAAATGCACCAAAACCGAGGCTGTATGCTTACTGAGATCTGCTTCTATTGTGGCAAATAAATCAACCCATGGAGTCAAACCTGGATTTGGATCATAGTATACCAGATACAGAAAATATCGCATACGTAAAACTTTTCAATTTGAAAGTTTTTCGAGATATTGACGACGATTCCACCAGTACACAAGATATAGAGACCTGTGACGATCCGGAGTAGAACTGGTCTTCAGTAACCCTTGCTTGACGTTAGAGGCGACTAACGGGATTGGGTGGTCAGGCTCGCTGACTGGGTTGATACATGTCATCAAATCCCAATTGTGTAGATCGATGCTCATGCTGTTGATCACTGGACTATCTGGTCCAGACTCGATTGTTTACAGACCTCCGCCAGCTGGAATAGTGCGGCGTTAAACAACAAACCAACCAACCAGCCAACCCTCATTCATTGGCTTGGCCATGGGGGATGTCCACTGCCTGGGCATTCTGGCTGTTTTCATTGCTGTGAAATGCTGTCGTGTACATCCGAAATATAGCATTATAGAAGCATTTTGATATTTGCAAAAAGCAAATACATTATCTGAATGGACATATTTCCCTGCTTTCCCATTTTTGAAAATGGGTTAAAAAATGTACTGTTAAATATCTCCAGCTGAGATATCACCATGCAGGTTTCATCCGTGTAGCAATCGTATCAAATGACACATGCATTGTTTATAGAACACATTAATTGTTTCACATTGAGCCTGAAGTGTGTGTCCTTTCCTAGATTTGGAAGGAAGAAGGCTCTATATCTGTGTATCCTGTCCCTCGCCATTGGGGGAATTATCCTCAGCTGGTCCAGCAACTTCGTCATGTTCGTCATCCTCCGCTTCATCAACGGTGCCTCCACAGCCGGGGCCTTCACAACGTGTTTCGTCATAGGTAAAGAGCACAAATACATTCTACGGTCCAGCAAACCTCGGTGCATGATGATTGCAGAAAGGGTACATTCCGCCCATCCTTTCATCATCTGTGCGATAACACTTTGTTCTTTAAAGGGGCTGTTTAGGTAACCAGCATAGATAAAACAGCAACCAGGCTGTCGAATAGGGCTTGTAAGTCTCGCGAGGGGCTACTTCCGGTACTAAGCTGGTTCCCGGCTCCCTTTGAGCGTGTCAACTTGCGATATACGAGATGATGTCCAGCTTACTTCCGGTACCAGATTTCCTGTGGCAAGCGTATATTCAAGAACCAGTTCTGGTTCCAAATTGCGCGACCGCCAAATATGACTTTACTAGACCGGACCAAGTGTACATTGTTTGTCACCGGGAGTACTAAGGTCTCGCGAAGTGCCGTGACCTACTTACGGACCCAATTGTTTTCATACGGTTGTAAACTTTCTCGAGACCCGCAAGCAAATTATCGTTGTTTGATTTTTAGAGTAAATAAGTTGACACACAAACGTTGAATAAATCCTTTATACAGAGTTTCTCCAAAATGTCAGAACCGTTGAGGTCGCCTAGTGGTTAAAGTTTTCGTTTTTCACGCTAAAACCTGAGTTCGATTCCCAACATCCGACTCATCCCGTATTGTAAAGCAGCAGGATTTGATCAAAGCGGTGTAAATCACTCGCTCACTTTAAAAAGAGTCCATCCTCGAGAGTCTTTAATGTCATGTCAATACGACCGCATTCATCCATTTCTGACTGAAGTAACAGCTACATAACTTCGATTTCCAGGCATGGAGATTTTAGGGCCTTCTAAGCGTGTATGGATGGGGGTGATGATCCAGGTGTTCTTTGGCGTTGGAACGACGACATTGTCCGTAGTTGCCTACTTCATCAGCGACTGGTATACTCTGGAGCTAGCCATGGCTGTCCCTGTCGCTATCTTCCTCATTTACTGGTGGCAAGTAGTGCATTGTCGTGTTAATGTCATAATGATGTGGATCTGGATTTAAACAAAAAAATAAACTGAATATGTTTTAACCATTTTCGATATTTCTTGCTTTTTACTGTATCACTTTTGTTTAAAATGTTTGGCCTTGAAACATGTGTAATCGATGAACAGATTGAAAATACACCCTTCCGGAAATCAACCTGCATTGGCAGACACAGATCCTTATCTCGTACTTCAATGTGCGACAATATTTCACTATACGACGGTAGTTTGTAAATAATCAAGTCAAAAGGAGAGAATCCGTTAAGTAACATCGGCATCATTCTACACAATTAGGATATGATGACCGGCATGTATCAGCAAGCCTTACCACCAGATCCCATTAATCGCCGCTGACGACAAGCATGGATTTGTTGAAAACCAATCTGTCCCGGATCTTTATCTTCTTCAAAGACCCACAAATGTGAGATCGCTGCTGTGATATATGTTCATGAGCAGCATGTCCCCACCTTCTACTAGATCTAGATTCAATGCGATGTTGGACAAAGCAAAATTAGTTACCATCATTAAAATTGCCTTCCTGTTTAACCGAAATGTATCCTTCCCAGGGTCATTCCCGAATCTCCAAGATGGCTGATGAACAAGTTCCGGGATGAAGAAGCGGAAGTGATCATACGCCGCGCAGCGGACGTGAACAGAGTCAAGCTACCTGACAACTTGTTCGAACAGCAGGAGAAAACAGAGGCTGAAACTCATGATAATGACAAGCCCAAGGGCAACTTCTTCCATCTCTTTACCACTCCAATCATGTGTCTACGAACTCTTATTATATTCTTTAACTGGTAATCTGGTATTATTTCATTCATGTTCACATCATATTAAACATATTGCTGTATCTTGACAACTAATATCGTTTACTGCAGCTTGATCCTGCAGCTTTAATACGTCACTTCATAGCTGATATGAAGCAATGATGAAACTAGCTTATGTAATGCATCGCCGAAGTGGGTTATTAGTTCTTCTGCAAAATAGATTGAACATTAATTTAGACCTGGGTATGTCTAATAATTCACCAATTTTCAGAAAACTTGATCCGTTCTGATTTCATTTTACAATACTTTCCTTCGCTAATTCTTCGCCCCAGCGCCTAAATATGGATGTGTAGTCAGTGTAAACAAGCAGACGACACTTCCACAAGATCACTTGACAAAGCTTGTGTCAAGGGGGTGAAGTAGGTTCTACTGGCGCTTGAACGCTTTTACTGGCGCCTCAAAGATTACCAATAAGACGCGCCACGCTGCGGAATCCGGAAATGTCCGAATATAACTTGCTGATCTATCGATATGTGGTTTGTGATTAGCTTCAAACTACGTGCAATTTTTATGTTACGGTAATCGTATGTTCTTTTAGCGACCGATAGTTAAAGTTTCATTGAGATCAGCTGGTACAAAACATGCCGCTAAACTAATTCCGTCCATTTCAGGCATATCTTACAATGAAACCTACCAGTGAAGATCCGGGTTAGACATGGTCTTCAGCAAAGAGGCGACTAACGGGATCGGGTGGTCAGGCTCGTTGACTTGGTTGACACATGTCATCGTATCCCATTTGCGTAGATCGATGCTCATGTTGTTGATCACTGGATTGTCTGGTCTAGATTCGATTGTTTACAGACCTCCGCCATATAGCTGGAAATTGCTGAGCGCGGCGTTAAACAACAACTCACCAATGAAACCTATGCATGTAGAAGAATTCGAAAAGAACCTGCATTCAACCTGATAAATGTTTATTGTATTTTAGGTTTGTGGTCAGCATGGTGTACTATGGCCTGTCCCTCAACTCGGACAACCTTGGCGCAGGCAGCCTCCACCTTAACTTTTTGTTGGCAGGTCTGGTGGAGTTCCTGGCTATTGGTCTTGCCATGAGTGTTATCGACAAAATAGGGAGGAAGATCTTGCACTGTCTGTGTATGATCATAGGTGGTGTGTCATGCATCGTCACCATCTTTACCATCCTCTATGCTGAAGCATGTAAGTATACAAGACTAATCTTAAGTATAACAGCTTCTTTATTTGTAACTCACGACGTTTCTGGGCTAGTTCTTGCCCCTTCTTCAGGTGGATGGATAACAACTTCTTTTTTTGTTACTCACGACATTTCTGGGCTAGTTCTTGCCCCTCCTAGAAAACCCCAGAAACCCACCTGAAGAAGGGGCAAGAACTAGCCTAGAAACTCACCTGAATATTTGTCTTGTATTACTACATCAACTTCTAAATGCCTTTGAAGAATTTCATGTACCAACTTGCCCATCACGCGTGTATGTAGATCGTATATTCATCCATAGACGCCATCCTTAAAACCGTGGGTTAGAACTGGTCTTCAGCAACCATACTTGTCTTTAGAGGCGACCAACAGGATTGGGGTTTTCTGACTTGCTGACATGGTTGTTGTGTATCATCGTATCCGAACTGTATTGATCGATTCTGACGATGTTAATCACTGGATTGTCTGAAAATTCTTCAATATTGGTCTGTGGGACGTTAATACCAAGCAAAACCATCGACGCTTCTGGAGACTGTGTATATTGATATTTCTTATTACGAAACCAATGAATATTCTGGACGAACGTACATTCTCCATGACTCATGCATGGTGAGTGTTTATATATGATTATATTAGCTCCGGGCTGATAATAATCAGTCGTTTGTGCGCTTTGAACGTGCTTAGGCATGGATATATGCGCGGTACAAAGATGCTGTTATTATTATTAATGTATTTTTATTATATTGCCTCCTATAACGTACAGTATCTCAGTGTTGCGAGTCTGTTTCCAGACGCTTTCACCTCTTACAAGACCAGTTGTAACGGGTCTTCGCGGGTTGAATCTCAACTGTAATACAATTACAACATTGTTTTACAATACATTACACTACCATATTAATATTTTGTGCTGGGGTATTTCAATATATTTTTGTAGGATGCTTTTGTTTGTCAGGTCAAAACATTGATTACACAACAGTCTCGTTTCATGTTGACTGGGTCCCGTCCTATTGCGCAACTTAGTACAATAACCAGTCCAGAATTTTGAGACCAATTCTTTTAACTGGATATATAATTAATAATCAGTATCATTTGATACATCTAAGCACTTGTATATTGCAACTCCTTTTAATCTAAGCGAAGAACACATATCAGGTGTAACCAGTGAGCCAGATGCATTTTGAATCATTTTACGACCTCATCAAACAGGGGCAGTCTGTGACGTCTTAGTTAAGGTCATGCTGCCTACACCTCGTCATAAAATATAGAAATACGATGTTATTAAAATTTAAAATTAAATTCATTTGTACATACACTTTTCTTATGAAACAAGAAATTGGAATTCGGTGTAACCATAGTTGTTTGTGATGTCTATTTTCACTTTCACACGAGAAAATTTGGATCGGCTGAAAAGTAGGTCATTGTCTGAATAGGTTAATGAGACTCATGTTTCGGTTTGTTTCAACAAAACTTGACCCAAACTTTAGAAAGTACATGCTGCAGCAAAAGTAACACATCTCGGAGCAACAAACATTGAATTCCGGTGAATGAGTGTGGTTTTGTGCCGCTTTTAGTAATAGTCCAGCAATATTACGTGATTTTTGTTGTTTACAGCATTACAGTGGGTGACCGTCATGTTGGCCATGATTGGGAAGGTTGGAGCAACCGGAAGCTTCACAGTCATCTACATCTTCTCCTCGGAACTGTTCCCCACAATCATTCGGCACTCCGCCACTGGTGCCAGCTCCTCATGTGCTCGGATCGGCGGCATGGTAGCCCCTTATGTTGTTGACCTGGTATGTGGAACAAATTATTACTTTTCAAGGTTCATATCGTGTTCCCTGCCACATGCTACAGGGGGTAAACTGATTGTACCCGTTACGAATAACATTTTTAATGAATGTTTATCAAATGTAATATTGACACATGACCGGTACTTTACACCTTAAAAAACAACAAATCGAACCAACAGTTCTGGTAACAAGTGAATACGTGTTTGAAAAGCCACTTGCTTACGTTTTCTTTCATCCAATTGACCAGCCATGGAAATCATTGTTGTGTGGGATATCGCTACAGGGCAAGTTGGCAGGCGGGAACTTCGGCCGCGCCCTGCCGCTGATGTTGTTTGGTAGCTTTTCCGTCCTGGCAGGTCTGTTGGCCCTCCTCCTGCCGGAAACACTCAACAGAGACCTCCCGGAGACCATCGAGGACGGGATCAAGTTTGGCAGGTACTTCTGTAAATATTCAGGGCGATCAGGAAGAAGGACCCGTAGCCTTTAGGACTTGTTCTAATGTCTTGCTCTCTTCAGGATAAATACACTGATTAGGATGTTTTATAAATGGTTCAGCTCGTAAATAACATATTCAAGAGAGCTTAACGCCATTCATCGGCAAGGTCTTTAAAAGTGTCTCGGTGCATCAAGAACATCCCCTGTCTCGTCTATATTAAAGTTAATGAGTCTTGTCTTGATGTCAGAAGGATAAAACTGGCGTTGCTGAACTCTAAGTTCACATTGTATCCACTAGATCGTAGGATATCTCCGGAAATATTTAGTGTATGATACGATGTAGGTTTTTAGGTTTTGAATGCCAGTTATTTTTCTATCTACTGTGATAACTGACTGAAGTTCCAGGAAACTTTGTTATTACTTATATTAATATACTACCCATCAATAGTTTAGACTCGCTTAAATCAATCACTATAAGTTATGTACGTACATATGGTTACAACGAAGATGAATTTTCTCCACTAACTCGAGGGAAACATCTGAAAACCTTATGCAGATTAATTGCACGAGGATCATGCATCAAATTGCTGAAAAGCATGTAAGTGGCTACATTTACACTAGTGAGACTAAACTTTTGATGGGGAGTATACGTTATCTTTGTAACCGCGAATTTCTACAGTATTGAAATACACAATGCCATTTTAGAAAGTAGTCAAATGTAACATATGTTATATTTGGGATTACACTTTCTCAGTAAAGTACAGATTCTAGTACTTTCTTTTTCTTTTTCTTTTTTGTTTGTTTGTTTGTTTTTTGTTGTTATGTTTGTTTGTTGTTGTTGTTTTTTGTGGGGGTGAGTCCCATCCGGGATTCGAACCCACACCGTCAGAGTCAGGCACCTAATCGCAAGCACACAAAGTCAGACGCCTAGACCGCACGGTGGAAGCCGCGGTGGCTGAGTGGTCTAGGCGTCTGACATATGTTGATACAGTAGCGCTGACGTGGCTTCAAGGGACATGTACTTACGCACTTGGAGTAATATAAAGTATTCACTCAGGACCAGATATTTGTGAATAGTTATCATGTGTTTCAAGTCAAGAGGTGTCTTTCTGGTAGTTTAATCTAATCATGTTTTATTTGGCAGAAACCCCGCTCGAGCCAGAGCATCACGTCAAAAGGGTATGGAACATCCTCCCAACTATTCTGTTAAAAATGTAACACATGAGAAACAACTGTGAAAACGTGTCTGTTTGATGTAGACCAACTCTACATGTTTAGCATTAATATAAAACACTGTTTCTTGCAAATATACCAAAGTATGAGATTAAACTTAAAACTTCCATTAACAGCATCCTTCTGTAGACATGAACTGAAAAGAAGCAAGTAAGGGATGTTACAACTGTTTGCTTATCACTGTTTGTTTGCTTGTTTAACGTCGCACTAAGCAATATGAAAGTAGATAATCGAGTACTGACCAGATAACCTAGTGACTGATATCATGAGCATCGAACTGCGCAGTAGATAACATCTATCAACCACGTCAGCGAGTTGTACAACCGGACTTGTACGACAAGCTTGGTTTGCTGAAGGCCGATTCTGACCTGGTTCTTCACAGATGATAGCTGACACTAAGTCAACCGATAAACACTATCAATAATGATCCTTGTCATGAATCATCTCTTTGCTGTTTCCTTCGTGTATTTTTTGTACTTTATCTCTTCTTCAGAAAAGCAAAGAACCATTCCACTGCTGCCTATGTCTGACTCAAAGAATATATCGGCTGTCGAGTCCACAGTTCATGTCGAAGCTTGACTTCATCATGTGTCTCTCGTTGTACATTGAAGTTCTCAAGTAAATGGTCGATTTCCTTCAGTATTTCAGTAATATAAACTACGTTAATGTTTTTCAATGGTGTACATAGAATAAAATGAAAATTTAAGAGCAGGTACATCACAACGACTGTGTATTAGTCAGAGATACGTTGGTGTTGTTTGTCCTTCATATTTATGAAGCGTGTCCTTCAATATATTTTTATCGTTAATCTAAATATGAATAGTACAACATGTTTTACCACACAGTTGTATGATATGCACATACACTAAACGCCAAAATAAACGTTACCCTCCTTCCTTAGTGACGGAGGTACCTATCTTCATCTGACGTTGTGGTGCGTGGACGTCCACTTCTTGGTCTGTCTACGGTGACCCCAGCCTATCTGAAGCCCTTAATAAGTCTTATAACCGTGATACGGTGGCATCCGAGGGCGTTGGCAACAGCATTGTATGTCGACCCCATCTGCACCATCCTAATAGCTCTTTCTCTCTCTTCAGCTGTTAATCGTGGCATATTTCTCGTACTTGTGTATCATATCATGTATTCTAGGATCTTTTCATACCCTATAGAATCATTCTACATGTGAAATGGATGCAAATACTGTTTGAATATTGCTGCGTTTTGGCGATGGATATTGCTATGTGTAAACAGAAAATGGAAAAATGTTACTCTGCAAGCAAAAATGTTAACAAAGATAATTTTAGATGTTCCTAAACATTTTTTCACAATCTGAAAGACACGTTTTACTTGTTTCCACTAATGCAAATCAGCAGAAAATGTTTTAAAAGACATAGGAATTATTATTTTACAACTTTACACACTCTGCAACAGTTGTTTTTTGTTTTAATAGTTGAAAAATGGTGACTTCCAATGGTTTATCATTGTCCCCAAACAGAAATTTATTTCAACCTTTCTTTTGGACATAAAAATCACTGTTATTTGTTAATTTCGGCATGGACGAATATAGGACAATTTAACTCTTCTGAAAAAAGATTCATTTCACCTAAATATGAATGCAGTTGAGAATTTTGTTTTGTGATTTGCATAAAGCTGTGTTGTTCAGGTTTCTCGTAAGCTAAAACTTTCAAACATATCTTTGATAGTTTTTCGGTAATTCATAAAGGTAGGAAGGTAACGTTTCTTTTGGCGTCTAGTGTACATACCTGATAGGTCATTAGGGTTGCCAGATCTCCCATATGTTCCTGATTAGAAGTGACAATGGACATACATCACGTTTCTTTAAACTACAAGATTGTTACCTACCGACCTGGATCCCGTCTCTAAAATGAACATATTGTACAGAAAAAACGGTTTCTGAATTATATTAATGAAATATAACAAAAAAAGAGTAGATACTTTCTTCATTTCCTGAAACTGAGGTAATCTAGACTTTAGGCCGAAATACACTCTGATCTGATATTTGGTATATGTGTTTCAGGATCAGGTACTCTATCCCCAAAGCGTTCGTAGCACTACTTCATTCGTAAGCCAATGCTAAACTATAGAGTTACGAAAAGTCGAAACGTTACGAACGCTTTGTGGATCGGGTTTCTGTATGACAGACTAGCAGGATAGCGACCCACATACGTGCCATGATGGATATATAGCAACACAGCAATAGCGGCTAACACCCGTGAAGGTCCGGGTTAGAATATTGATCTTCAGTAACCCATGCTTGTCGTAAGAGGCGACTAACGGGATCGGTTGGTCAGGCTCGCTGACTTGGTTGACACATGTCATCGGTTCCCAATTGCGTAGATTGATGCTCATTATGTTGATCACTGGATTGTCTGGTCCAGAGTCGATTATTTTCAGACCGCCGCTATATTGCTGGAATATTGCTGAGTGCGGAGTAAAACTAAACTCATTCGCTCAATAGTGGCTAAACTCTAGTCCCGTGAATTCAGTGGTTCTTACTGATATTTGAACACCAGCAAAATCACACACGTTTTTGGCTTTATTCCAGGCGAATTTTCAAAACTAAGTTTTATGTCACGAGGCTAGTACATGATGTTGATCACTGGATTGTCTGGAATAATGCTGAGTGCGGCGTTAAACAACAATTAACAAAACTAATGAGCGATTAAACGACATGAATAATCGTACTAATAAAAGACCACAGCCTTATTACGTTTCTGTCCTCTTGTCAATTTCGTAGAATAACAGCTCATGTAGAGAGAGAGAGCAGAGTCCTGTTAAACGATCGCCAATTGAAGACAAACACTCTGAAGCATCCCTACAATCATACAAAGCAAGATGAGATGTTACTGCCACTACACTTGATTGACAAATCGTTCACAGAGCCGTCGTAACAATATGGCCATGTCATAGTTTTCTAAAAACATCTCGAGGTACTTGAATACTAATTAAGTATATGCATTTAAATATTTATTTTCACATGTCAGATTTGGTTTACTTGTTTTAAATATCCCCGTTATGTGTTTCGTTGTTCAGTTTTGATATTATTTAAACCCTGATATGCAGGACCTTTGTTAGAAAGATTACCGAAACCGTGAATAGGTCTATCAGCCATACGTTCTAATGGCCACAGACTTCCCAATTTAAAGGGCCACACCAACTGTCCAAATGGCCTCATACTCTAGTGGCAATGGTCGCATGACTTTTACTCTGACCTTATTCCACTTAGGGAGTGAGTGAGTGACTTTAGTTTTACGCCGCACTCAGCAATATTCCAGCTATATGGCGGCGGTCTGTAAATAATCAAGTCTGGACCCGACAATCCAGTGATCAACAGCATGAGCATCGATCTGCGCAATTGGGAACCGATGACATGTGTAAACCAAGTCA